TACAATTTTAGCATCAAAACTACCAGCCTCAAATAATAAACTGGTTAGCTGGACTCAATTTTTCAGACAAGATTTAAATTAATTTAGCTCCGGGAGAGAAAAAACATCTTTTAATATAAAGATAGCCAGAGCATTACATTCTTAAATGTCTATCTATACGAAAATTAAATATAAACAAATAAGTGATACATTAGCAGACTAAGACACAAAATGCTACAGTAACCTGACTTTACTTAATGCCGATTTAACTTAAATTGCAATAACCTATTTAATCTAACTACGATTATGAGGACGACTATAAAGCATTTTGGTTGCTAATGCAATTAAGCGCATTAACCTCATACCTTAAACACGCATCTTGAGCGATGAGTCATTTCAGCCAGCGGAACGCAGTGGCAATGTCATAGACGCTCTCCAAGGCCCGCATTGCGTTCATACGAATTCGGTGATTTTCATTGGCACGAAAACACATGAATTTCATTGGCTTATGTTAAGGAGCTAATCTATTGGCTAATTTGTCAGGTGAGTGCGCTGATTGGTTTAGTCACATTATTGTTACTGTGTCCATGATATCGCATTGCAGACTTTTACTGCGTTGGCACATGCTTGGTGTTTTCGCGCTCATTTGATTCATTTACTTTTAGTGGATTATTTCTCGAATGCTTGCTAGCATTTCTGCAGGTTATAATTCCCTATTTGGGAATAAGGAGAGTTGTGAAAATGTTAGTTGTTAAATTGTTTTAATTTTAAAATTTGAACTATCATTTATATGCTCTTTTGTTTAGATGGAAAATTCTGACCATAGTAACTCTAGCGATACTGGGTTCAGTCAACCCTCATGTACATCGAAATCGCCCATGTCGTCACCGGAACTATCAAGGGGAATTCTATCTCCATCCACCTGGAGTTTTACTGAAGCTTCGTGTAGTATGATGCAAGGAGTTACCGCCGAGGATACATTTTTGGGTAATACGTCAAAACAACTGTCGATAAGTCCAGCTCAATCACCAAATAATTCAAGATCAATGCCAAATCAGTTGGATACTCTTGACATGATCACGTTGGATAAACGCTGCCGATCAGCTGGTAAGTTGTATCTGATCTGTGGTCATGCTACATGAACCAATGGCAACTTAATAACTACAACTCAATTTAATATCTAGACTTCACATTAACTGCGATTGAGGACATGATTGAACGGCCGGATAGTTTGAGAACTTTAGGAGATGGCAGTAGTTCTTTCCCTCTTGATTCACAACAGCGAAGTATTTCTACAACCACCACTGCAAGCGATCCTTCTAATCACCGAGCTTATGTGATGGCCCTTGTGAAAAGACGCCGTGAAATTGAGGAAGATTTAGCGGAGCTAAACGTGAAGTTGCTGGAATCCTATCGTGAAGAATGGGTAAGTATCTCTTTCAGATGCTATGGGAAGTGTTCTGAGCAAGGTTGTATTAGTATGTTTACATAGAGTACACAAAATTTGTTTGACCTTTAAATGAACTGAACTTTTTGTTTTGATTTGTTTAACAGCCTATCGGGGTGTTGATTAAAGTGTGCAAATAGTAGTGCCTAAATCTCTAAACGTATGAAAGTGTACATACTCTTGCCTTTGAAGAGTCTATTTAACTGCTTCCTCCTTTTTCAGATTCTCACGGGTGTTGTTCCAGAGGGATTTACTGAGATCCAGTCTCGAGTGTTCGCATTTGATCCAAAACTGAAGACAACATCCTTTCCCTTCACACTTCTCTTACCAAACAGCCAATCAGCATCGAATTTCAAGCCCCCCATTGCTGATAAATCAGTGAGTTTCCTATCTAATCGGGCTAAGTGGATTTTGAATGAAGTATTGCTTGAAATAAAGTAGCTATTGTCTCGAAGATGCACGATTGTTTTCAAGCCAAATAATGCCGTACTCAGCAGAAGTGTAGCTTATTTTTTAACATTCGAAAGTTCTTCGCTTTCAATTGGCAAATTTCAAGGACGTCAGTTTTGTAGGCCACGTGTTACCGAATTTGACTATAATCGTCTGTGGCAAAAATATGTCTAAGTGTAACAATGTTGTACATGAAAAGAAAGATGACGTTTTAAAATCTAAAAGGAAAGTTGAATGTGCCTGAAAACTTAAGCGTGGCTAATGATATATTTGGTATATTTGAGGACAAAATGATACTGTTTCTTTCATCTATGCTTTGCCATTCATTTTCAGTCCAAAATGAGCTTACAATTGTCCTCCAGTGAAAGAGATTCAGGAATACATAACTCGGTTGAGGAAAATTCTACCGCTTTCAATTGTAAGGATTCTCTTACTTCCTCCTTTTCGTCCATGATGGCTGATGTAGGTTTCTTAAGTCCCTGCTTTCTCCAACTTAGAATCAACTCAAGTTTAACAACACCTTTTCTTTTTAGTCTTTCTACTTCAGCCAGAGTGATGACACTTCTCTGCGAACTTGCAGTTTTATTGAAAATCCAGCTCGCGAAGCAATAGTAAAGAGACTAGAGGAAGTAAAGAATGATTTTGCTGTTGTCAATCAGATCTATCTTATTCATCGGCAGCGTGCTTTTGAGACAAACCAGTCGGCCTTTCGAAAGGCATGCAAATGCAATGTACAGAAAGTAGGTTACACCTGGTTAATAATAATCGTAATCTTACATTAAGGTGTTAATGAGAATGTTTTCTTTCCCATTTTAGTTGAAGGAAATTCAACAAGAAAAGCGTGCTCTAGAGGCGAAGTTGCGAGAAATTGACGGTGGTGAACGGCTCAGCTGCGCTGGTTGCTCAGGGCTGTCTAGGTCGACTAGTATTTCTGTGAAAGAGGACTACTATGTCCTCACCACACCAACAGCAGTGACTACTCTTCCAAGACGCAAGACTTTTCGTATTCCCTCTCTCTCACATAATGGGACTCTGCGTCTTAGTAAGCTGAGAAAACGTCCTAGTTTGAAGCAGATGGAATTTGAAAATACTCCTCAAACACCTATCATTGGTTCAGCAAAGCCAGTTAAAAATGGCGGATTAAAGCATGTCCCATCTAGTCTTAGGGGGCTCCGATTCCAACTCCTTCCTGCTCGGCTTCGAATGCCTAGATCCCAGACGGTTGTACGAGAGGATAATCTTGATTCCATGTCTAATTCGGACGTTAGAGAGGTTCCTTCTGTTAATGGTTCCAGCATAGTTCGAGTAGGTGGCGCCACGCTTTCTTTTCTTTTTTAAAACTCGAACAGTAGGGTATAGATTGCTTATCTTTCAGCCAAGTTCAATGTATGCGACCGTCTGCTCAAGTCGAGTATGCAATTCCATGGATGATGTGAGCAAATCACAGCTTCAGAAACATTTATCATCCTCGGGACCTAATCTGCTTGATGTGAAGGGAATTGAACAGTTTGACAATCTGGGAGATAAGATGTAAGTCTGATTTTCCATATCCAAATTACGATGCCAGAAATGATCTTTATTAGAAAATGTGGTGGAGAAGGTTCTTGAAAATATGAATTTGGAATAGTTTCGAGTTTTAGTTGTGTTTAGTTCTGGTAGACCTGAAAATGAGTTGCTTATTTTCCTTTCTTTTCTCTGCATCTCAACCTTTGATGTCAATATTGATGGCACAAAATTACTCAAAAACCCACTAACATTACTTTCGAGAAAATGCATATATTGAAGCAAAACGCTACTGATCTAGGTCTTAATAATTCTCTAACTAGATATTCACTGTTTAATATCTTGAATTTTAGAAGTTCGATGGGTCCAACTGATGATTTTGAATTGACCAGTATGTTTGGGGATCTGAATATCTCAACATCCGACGTTGCTCCCAAGAACACCACTTCCTCTCCCGCTGACTCCGATGAACAGTCAACCTCAGGGGCATTTTCAATGGTATCACAAGAATTTTCCTTGTCAAGTGAAGCAGAAGTATGTCTTCGTCGCCCCATGAAAGTTGGCGCAGAGGAGTCGCCTATTCGATGCATCTGCAGTTGTATTTCCGATCACGGCGGTGGGAATTGCGACTGTTGTGAAGAGAGTTGGGATGATTCTAAGGGAAGTGAAGAGAAATCTGATAGTGGAGTTGGACATGAGGAAGAAGAAATTTCCACTCCAACACCAGTCAGATCCAAATTTCCCGTGATTATGCCAAGTAGGCAGCCTCGACGCAGTCTGAATCCCTTCAATTTACTTAGGACACACAGTGGGCGACGTGGACCCCTATGGAAACGCTAGATTTTCTTGAAATTGCAAATCTCCACCCTTTTGGCTGTGATATTATGAGTGCGAGAGCCAGTCTCTTGTGTACCTCTCGCTGATATTGTTAAATCTTCGTGTACATATTAAATAGAGAACGTTTTTAATTCATTCGGAAATTGTGTTGTAGGCTAATTGTAATATTAGTAGGTGATATTGTCTGTGTTTGCAAAAAGTTTGATGTGTCAGCAGCTCTATTTTGGAGTCTTGAATTTGATTAACGCGCCAGTTTAAACTGAGGTGAATAATGTAAACGAAGTGTTTAGTCTATTGATTGTGGTCGGCATTCATGTGCACTGGTGGGGTGTGCTGTCGACCTTATGATATTTGCTACTACGCCGTCGGCTCACTGGTTCGTGTGTGTTCGCCTATGTATTCAGAGGTCGCGAGTAGGCGACGTAGCGGATCTCATTATCTAAATCGGCCAGAAATTGAACCTTTCAGCCCCCCTACGCAGGACGAGCATTTGTGAACAATTCCCTACAAAGAGGGCTTGTTAATTGTTGATGGTTTTCTTGGTTATGTTTCCACAGAGTATCTTATTGAATCTTTCATTCTTCTTTGAGTAAGTAGCTATGTCATCATATGCGACGTAGGAGTTGGGAAGAAGTGCGATCACCTAGTTCAATTCGTGAAAAGTGTTGAGTATACATTTTTATTGGGAATCTGCTGAGGGAATAATGGTGGCTCTTCTTGTGCTTTGTCAATTCTATCAGTGGATTGGGGCAGGGACATAGGTTGGTTGAACAGAGAAGGTATATTGAGTAAGCACCTTCAGAAGTCTAACAAGATCTTGTCCTCTTGCATAAATGATTGCTACTACAAGTAGCTAGTAGTGAGAACACAATAGTAGTGTTAAATGGGTTTACTGTATGTATGTTGAATCCCAAAACGTGATCAACAATTAAATACGTCTAATTGGAAAGAATATTAATAGCTGGTTAACTGATAAGGCTTCTGCAAGTACGGCGCAGTCGCTCGATTGGCCATCGATATCTCAATTGAGCTTTTCCATGATAGCATTATTCGCCCCACATTTCTCTAATGAGGTAGAAGACCATGCTTCAAATACTTCAATTCTTAAATATAAATACTAACATCTCAAATTTCAACAAACACCCTTATTAACGAAATATGTTAAAGAGATCATGATAAGGTAAAATACAACTGTTCATCCATTACAAATTTATAAAATTAACAGCTTAGTCTTGTCAAGCATAAGTCACTATTACTTTGAATTGCAAAGAAAAATGCGAGACAGTGCAATTACGTTTGAATAGTTACGCTTAGAGTAGGTTATTTTGCATGATCAAAAATAGGTTTCATTTTTGCGTGACATTCCCTAACTTCGGTCGTTTTATGATGTTAAATATCCTGTTGGTGTATAGTACTCATAAAATTATCAAGCCGTGACAATTTGACCGATTTACAAACGCACGTTAATGCATGTTCAATCTGAGATTGCTACCTTCCTTCATTTTGCTGAAGATGAAATGATGTTATTTTTTGTTTATGCTGAGCAAGATAAACTTAGAACAATTTGAGCTTTAGGTATAAACCGATGGAAATGTACAATAAATAACGTTTTCTCACATTTCCCACCATAAACGTTTAGAAAGGGTCAAAATGGGAACCGATATTTTTTTATCAGAAGAAAAAGAATGGTAAATTTGTCAGTACAATTGAGTATCAGCAGATATCAATAATCATCGTAAATTAGTTCACAGGAGATTAAATTTGACTTTTAATAAATAATACATAATACATACATCATTAATGAAATTATCCTAACTCATATTACAATGACACATTATAGTGAAATAAACTTCTCAAAAGAAGTGTCAGAAATGACAAGTCAAATGTGAATACTCGAAATTTTTGAGTGAAAAGTAGTCAAGATATCAAAATGATCAAAAACTTTATTTAAAAAGCCAATGATATTCATGAATGAGTTAAGGACTTTATTAAACTTGATTTAAATTAACGGGCCCGTTTTAAATAAAATGGGTGAGTTTCACGCCTTTTTGTTGTCATAAACTCATGCGGTATATTATTTATTTGGTTATTAAATTGATGATTTGCAGAGAAAATATTTAGAGACTTTAGCTAAATAATTTTAGCTATCGTTAAATATATTTCTAATTTTTAATATGAAATACAGGTAATTTCCCATGCAAATGGAATAAAAGTAAAAAGCATCTACAACGTTTACTTTTATTTAAATTTTATTTTATTTCCAGTGCTCATAAATCATATGCATTGTAACATCAAATATAGAGTATTTTTCTTGCATATTTGATTTAACCTCTGATTTCTTTTAAAAATAATGAAATATCTAAGCGTTGTTAATGATTACCGACTTTCCCATTTTGATAGCTTCAATGACACCACGTCTACCGGCCCTTCCCTCTCTTCGCGAAATTATTCGCATTTACGGTCTTAGAGCACAGAAACAACTCTCACAGAATTTCCTACTTCAGCCGTCTTCTATAAACAGCTTCATTAATTGTGCTGGCAGTCTTCGAGATGCATGTGTTTTGGAAGTCGGCCCTGGACCCGGTGGAATTACCAGATCCATTCTTCGTCAAAAACCCCGTCATTTGGTTGTGGTGGAGATTGACCGTCGATTCATCCCCTCACTCGAGGAATTGCGTGTTTCAGCTGCTGAAATGGGTATCAAGATGGATATCTACCGTGGTGTGAGTTACCTTTCTAATGGTTTTGCCATTGTGCATCTATGGAATGTGTTTTTCGATTTATATTAAAAATTAGATTCCCAGTTTTCATGTTAACTCTTTCACATGCAAGAATGAGGTAAAATGTTCTCAGATAAATGCTAGAACTTTGGATAAAACAAAGATTTACGAGTTTCTTCAAGTTCCAACATTTTTTAATGGCATTCAATGCAAGGCCATGATCAAGACAGGTTGCATGACAAAATAGCTCTCAATTTTCAACCCTTCAAATGCCAAATTTTGAGATCGGGAATAAAATAAAACTTGAAAATAAACTTAATTGGTAACCCTTTCAGATCATAGAAGTTTTATAAGAGGTTTTTTAGGAATCTGCGGCATATGAGGGGTCATTTTTAATTGAATTAAAAGCTTTAAAGAAGGAGGTATGGAATTTACTGTCGACCCACGAGGAGGGAGACCCACCACACAACGAAATGAAGTTAACATTTCTCGTGTGCAGAGCCTAGTGGAACAGGATGTGCGACTTACCATTAAGGAAATTGCTAATGAAGTAGGAATCGCACAACGATTGCCATTTTCAATTCACACGGAAAGTCGTGGCTTGAGCAAGCTCTCGGTGGACATTGGGGGGGGGGGGGGGTTCCAAAAGGGTTGCAGCAATAACGACTGAATCAAAGAGTTGAACTTCCCGTTGCAAATTTGACGAAGATGGGAGTAAATGAGGTTATTTTTTGAAGATGAAACTTGGATCTACCAATTTGATGCAGAAAACCAATTCAATCAAGAGTGGCATTTAATAGAACATCTGGGCCTGAAAGGTGCTTCAAGAAGATCATGGCCACTATTATTTACTACTTAAAAGTAGTGATGCTGATAGATTTTCTAGAAGGACAAAAAACAGTAACATCAAGTTATTTTGAAGATGTTTTGAAGAAGTTGATGTCATCCCTAGCCAAAAACGGCCCTGGAAACTGTACAGGCAAACGTGGTTTTATAATTATAATGCCTCTCCACATTCTTCAAATGCTGTTGATTGGAAACACTTCCAAATCCTCCTTATAGTCCAGACCTAGTTCCCTCAGTTCTTTTTGTTTTCAAAACTGAAGAAATATTTTAAAGTTAGCCAATTTGCGTCTTTAGGTGATTGGAAAAGCATGAAATTTCATGGTTCCAGAGACAGTCCCCAAAGTTCTACTATAAATAATGGAATTTGTCTGGGAATTTTTTACTCTTTCTCGTACCTTATCGCATAGCATTTGTGTTATATTTCCTAATTTACTTAGATCGTGGTGCTTCCTAAATTATCTTGTATAATTAGCAGAAAAACACGGAAGCTTATTTGATTTAGCCGCTTAAAACCTGGACTTATTTTTCCCACCGACGTTAATGGGCGAGCTATACTAAACTTACATCCAATTAAAAACGCTGAATCATTTGCATTCTTCTATCTTCTGTATTTGGTTTAATTAATTCTTTTCGTTTTTTCGTTTAAAGGATATCTTGAAGCTAAATACTGGAGATATATTCTCTATAAACAGCATCCATCAAAACGAGGCGTGGGGTTCAGGAATTACAGATTTAGCTCCAAAAGTTGATCGTGACTCAACCGCACTTGTTCCAGCCAGTTCAGAACGACCACCACGAGTTCGTATACTTGGAAATCTACCCTTTAGTATTTCTACACCTCTTCTCATTTCCTGGTTAGAAGACATCAGTACTCGAAGGCAGATTTGGCGTTTTGGACGTGTCCCCATGACACTTACGTTTCAGAAGGAGATTTGCGAACGCCTTGTTGCAGATGTTTGGGATGAACAACGCTCCCGTCTCTCTGTAATGGTCCAAACTTATTGCGAAGTAAATGCCTTCTACTAAAATCAAATTAAGTAGCTATATTTAAGTTGCAGAAAATTTATATATTTATATCAAATGGCAGGCGTTTTGATAGTTATCATTAGGCCTTTGGTTGACTTCAGACTTCACAGAGGGGAAGGAACATCAAAGTGAAAAAAGTCGAGAAGGGGGGGGGGAGGAACAGAAGAGCGTTTCAAAGATGTAAAAAAGACAGACACAAAGATAGAAAAAAGGTGAGGTGAGTACTATGGAAGTAGTCGAATATGACATGGAGTCAGGTCATGGTAGTTTGAAGTCAGAAATCAACTGCCAGTTAATAGACCTTTTTGCCGTATGAGTATACCTTGCCCAGGGAGCACCACGTGGAGGTAAGTCTATCGTACACCCCAAGTTGCAGAACAAAAATGTGGCATTAGCCTGTTTGACATGTACGAAATTTCTCGTTACTGCTTTTTTCTATTGGGTCTTTCGAACACCATAGCAGGGGTTTTACATCTCTCATAATTAAATCATAAAAGAATTTTAATTGAGATCATGAATAGCTTCTTATACATTTTTGTTAATTTGATGGCCTGTTTACTTTCTCGTTCTGCTGCTTGTGGGTGGTTGATAAATGAGGTTTTCCCTTTTAAGTTTACCATTTATGAACTTCGCGGGGAGAGAATAATGGGATTCTGTCTAATAGGGGGGGGGGGATGGGAGGGGTAGTTATGATTTATGATTTATCCATATTTCTTAGGGGTGGTGTTGTGAGCTCCAAATGACTCCAATTTGCAACGGGCTAAATCTACGTGGAAAAATCGCACCGATCCAATTTTTAAAATTTTTTTTCGATGCTTTGAATAAAAGAGGAATAAAATTGGCTGAATTTAACATGTGGATTCTAATGAGTTCTGCTAGATTAAAATCAGGGGAGGTTGTATCATTCTGGACTAATAGAGGAGACCACTACATTGTGGTAACGTAACCAACTCAATTAACGGGCCAGTAATCTACTGTCGTCGTGGCCGTTATTTCAACTGGATTTCGGGGTTAACTCTGAAAATGTTGACAACCTAGTAATTTCCGCACTCTTCTCTCTCCCTCCTATCGATGATTTCTCAACCCTGATTGAATTTAACAGTCGTCATGGCTACTACTATTGATAATTCCCTGGCACGTTCTGGCTATTATGTGTTTGGAGACATTCAGAAATTACCCATTGGCTGAGGAGTGATTTTTTTCAAGATTTAATCTACGTTTATTCATGCAACTTAAAAAAACCATAGCATTTTCATTGTTCGGTTGAAAGAAGGCATTCGAATATGCAGCATTTATCAATCTGGCGAATACAATTTGACCGTTTGGAGACGACTTGATAATTTGTTAATAAATAGTCTTTCGACAAAAGAAAGCAGAAAACGGAGATATTAAGGAAAAATTTCGTCTGAAAACGAGAGAGAGAGAGTTAACTGATTTCATAGCAACTTTCAATTATTTCGACGCAATTTCTTATACTGATTGAATTCGTTTCGTGATAGCCTAGCGGGCTTATTTTAGTGTATGAAAAAGATGCTACTGACGAATGATATGTATCATCAATTACACACCAATTGTAAAACAACAACTCGCTTGCGGTGACAGGTTGTGTTGATATTCGCCAAATCAACCTGGCCGAGGTGTCCCTTGAAAAAGAATATAAGCATAATTTAAACCAACATAGGTTGCGTAGTGGCAATTAACCATCTGGGTTTATGTCTCTACTACTCCACTTCTGCTTTAATCTTATTGTCACTCCCCCTTTTTAGGTCCAATTCTTGAAAGAGATTCCGGGTTCCGCTTTTGTACCCAAACCCAAAGTGGACGCGGGTGTGGTTCGATTGATACCCCTTCCTCGACCGCTCATTTCGAGTCCCTTTCCCTACGTTGAAAAGCTAATTCGTCACGCCTTCCAGTTCAGGTAAATTTACTCCTCATTCCGAGTTGTGGGAACTTGTTTTTGATATATTTGCTCTATAAGGAGCATATGGCTTAATAAACTTCTTTTTGATTACAGTACAAAAGAAAATAATACTAGAAGTGCTCTATATTCACAACGTTCTTAAACACTTATTGCTCACAGTGATGTAGAGTATCGCAGTCTTTCTGTTTAAAGGATTTTAATTTCGTTATTGTTCGACTTACTTGTTCCTATTATTACCATTGATCATGGCAATACAGAACGTTTTCACCTATTAGTCATGGAATGGTATCTAGAGCCTCAAAATAGACCAGCAAGGGTGGAAATATGTCGTCGATTAGCAGAATGTAATGAATTCAGGATATTATGAACTTAACTTAGTTTGAATGCTGGAAATATCGACTTTTCAACCTCCTCATTGAGCGTTTATTTCAATTTTACACGCAGATGATCCAAAGCACTGCTGGCAAGATCTTGTGGCCCCGATATTGAAAGTTTGCTGCTGCGGGGAACGCAGTAGAGCTCGCAGTGAGTGAACTGCAACCCTCGAGTGAGGTCTGTTTTATTCTAAAAGACTCACAGTGAATGCAAGAGGTGTTCTTCTAGTTTCGAGTACCAGGGAGTGTGCAGATAAAGGGGGCAGCCTTTTTATCTCTGCTACTTCCGGGTCCTCTTGTCACGTTTCCCTCACCCAACGAAGTGTTATCACAGACGCACTTACATATGCGAGGTTGAAATTCTACTGACACTCTCATTAAGTACGTTCTTTAGATCTTTTTTAAAAGTGCTCAAATTATTTATATCAAATGTCAGGCGTTTTGATTGTTATCATTAGCTCTTAAGCTGTCTTCAGGCTTCACAGAGGGGAAGGAACATCAAAGTGACAAAATGTCGAGAAGGGGAGGGGGGGACAGAAGAGTGTTTCAAAGATGTAAAAGATACAGACACAAGGGTAGAAAAAAGGTGAGGTGAGTACTGTGGGAGGCGTCGAATATAACATACAGTGGTGTGATGGTACTTTGAAGTCAGAAGTCAACTGCCGAATAATAGACATTTTTGCCGTATGAGTATACGTTGTCCAGGGTGCACCACGTGGAGGTAAGTCTATCGCACACCCCATGCTTAAATTATCTGTTAGTGAGCACTCTAGGATTACTTTCTCTAATTCATAAAGTGCTTGATGCATTTTCCCTATTGTCTCGATCTAACTATCTCACATTCGACGCACAGTTGGATTTGATTTTTAAGTTGCTGTTTTCATTTCATTTTATTGCTTTGGTCGAAAGTTCACCCTTTCTGACTTTACAAGGATTTGAAGCAGTTTTGTTGCGCAATAGTCTTCAATAGTGTTGTTGACGCTATGCCGTCTGGAAATAAGGACGGATGAGCGCAATTTAAGGAGATTGTCTTGCCTGGCACATCTCATCTGCAGGATTTTGAGTGGGTGATGATTGAATTCGAAAGTCACCGGATATTTTTTTTAGTAGTTAGTAAGTCAAGGTTACGTTCATAAATCACAATAACTAGAGGTATGAAAGGGGAAAATGTGGACCAAGAAGTGCAATGTTCAGATCAGGGGTGTGCGATAGAATAACCTCCACGTGGAGCACCCTGGGCAACGTATGCTCATACGGCAAAAAGGTCTATTAACCGGCAGTTGATTTCTGTCTTCAAACTACCATCACCCCACTGTATGTCATAATCGACTGCTTCCACAGTACTCACCTCACCTTTTTTCTATCTTTGTGTCTGTCTTTTTTACATCTTCGAAATACTCTTCTGTTCCTCCCCTCTCTCGACTTTTTTTTCACTTTGATTTTCCTTCTCCTCTGTGAAGCCTGAAGTCAACCAAAGGGCTAATGATAACGCCATTTGATATAAATACGTGTTCAGATCGGTTTGAGTAGGGGTACATATTTTCGCAATGATCCACTACCACCTCAGGAAGAAACATGAGGTTGAGCACATCTCGGAATTTCCTAGGTGTTCTCGTACTTGACCGAAGAGGTTACTTATTTAATCTATTTCCAGTTCTTGCAGTAGTGGCGAACTAATTATCTTTCTTCTATGACAAGATAATTCGTACTAATTGATAGCTTCAAATGTGTCTGTGCCCATGAAAGTAAATCAATATTCACCCCATAATTATTGCCTAATTGATTGAAGTTAAGCTAGCAGAGCTGCTAAGCCGAATTTAATTCCTAAATTTTTAATAGTTTTTAGCTTTTTTGCACGCTTTTTTTCCTCTTCTCTTCTTATCCAATGTCGCTATTGGGTGAATTAGACATCTTGCCAAATTATCCAAGTGATATCCATTTAGGTTCATTAAACTTTAGCCCTCGTTAAATAGCCCAACGTATCTCAATTGTCGCTATTTGATGTGACGTCTTCAATTGCATCAGATGGGTTCTTGTTGCAGCCACTTTCCTCAATTATGACCATCGTAGGCAAAGTTTGGACACTGGGGGCGACCTTCTATATATGACGATTTATGTTAAATTACTTGGGGTGTGCGATAGACTTACCTCCACGCGGTGCACCCTGGGCAACGTATACTCATACGGCAAAAAAGTCTATTAACCGGCATTTGACTTCTGACTTCAAAATACCATGGCCCAACTGCTTGTCATATTCGACCCCTTCCACAGTACTCATCTTACCTTTTTCCCTACCCTTATGTCTGTCTGCCTCTTTTACATCTGTGAATCGCTCTTCTGTTCCCCACCCCTCGACTTTCTGCTACTTTGATGAACCTTCCCTCTGTGAAGCCCGAAGTCAGCTAAATGGCTAATGATAGCTATCAAAACGCCTGCCATTTGAAATAAATAAATAAATGTTAAATTACTTCGATTATTTACTTGGTTGATATAGTTATTAATGCCTAGGGGTTTGCTAGAGGAGCTATCACCTAATGATGAAGAGATGAAAATAGCTATTTAGGAAGGAAATAGGGACAGAGAGAGGGGGATTGACAATGATTATTGTTTTCCATAGTTGCCAATGTTCATATTTCACTCTGAGACTATTCCTTATTGTCAAGATGGCCTTTTTAATTTGCTCTTATAGGACATTGCACGCAAACGGTAGGCAGATGAAGTTTCGGCTTTTTCCTTTTTTT